GTGAGAAGTGCAGTGGAATTGCAGTTGGGTTGTGGCTGCTCCCGACCTTGTAAATCCCTCCCGTGGACGGAGGGTCACATGACCCCACACACTGCCCCCCAGTTCCTCCTCCCGGCATTCCTGTCTGTCAGGCGCTCCCGGTGTGTCCCATCGTCCCGTCGTCAGCTGCCCATCACCTCGGATGGCGCTCAGACCTCTACACCCCTAGAGCCCCCCACACATTAGGTGCAGCCCTGGTTCCATCCTGTTATATGACTGAGTTATCTGTTTAGCATTTCATTAGAGGCGCGTACATCTTAGGGTAAAAGTCACCATTTCCCCTCCTTTCCGCACCCTGCAGGGGACAGACCAGTGCGGGGTCTGCCCTCCCCCGTCTGCCTCACACGCACTGTCCCCGCAGGAACGCCAAGAAGAACTGGCAGCGCATCCAGGACCACTTCTTCTTCGCCTCATTCCACCCGCTGCGGGACTACTGCCTGGAGGTGAGCGCTGCCCTGTGGGTGCTCTGCTCCCTCTGCCCTCGTGGCCGGAGGCCGACAGTGAGCTCCCCTCCCCTTCACGCGGGGCTCTGGGTGCGTCACTACGAAGGTGACTGCTGCAGTCCGCGCCCACGCAGGGGACCTCCCGGCTAGTCACTCTCCGGCAGTCGGCCCTGTGCACACGGAGGGCGTGTTCTGACGTTGGAAGAAGGGGGTGAGGACACCTGGGCGGGTGAGAGTCTGTTGTAACGAAGCCCCTCGCTAACAGAACAAGATGGGCTCTTGTCAACTGCCTTGTCTGGTCCTGGGCAGCAGGTGACGCCCCCCCTCCCGCACGTGCTCATGGCATTAGCTTCCAGAACCACAGGCAGGTCTCTCCAACCAGGCAGCCATCAGTGAGCTTTCTCTCTAAGGACCAACCTGTAGAAATGGCATTGCTTTGAATCGAGACATGCGGCCTTGCCTTTTTCCTCTAAAGAGCTCGGATGTCTCCGCTCCTGTGCACAGAGCATTACTTACTTTGGTGGATCACTAATACCCGGCCTTCAGCCAGGCTACAGCTCTGCGCATGGCGAGTCGCCACAGAGCTTCAGCTGCTTCCTGTCACTGCAGACATTGCCCGGGTTTTCCGGACACCAGACCCGCTGTGTGTCCTCAGTGCGCCTTTCTGCAGGGTCTTTAGTGCCTCAGCTTACGCCCGCCTGCCACTCGGTGTTCCTGCAGGATAAGGCCTTGCTTTCCTCTCCTGCTGTGCATTTCACTCCACTCCGACAGGAACCCTAACTGAATAGACGCTGCAGACTCCCTCTCACCATCTAGTTGCAGCCGTGATAAACTTACACAGATGTTGCATGAAGAAAACCATACTCACTCTAAACTTTAATCAAGACTTGCATGTTGATCTAAACTTACTGTTTCATTTTAAAATTGCCTCTTACCTGTGCTTCCGCTTCTTCTGGCCTCCGACTCCTGGGTCTCAGTTCCCATAGGTAAGAAGAGACTGTTGGTATGATGGCTAAATTGTGTACCCTGTGCCGTTTACAGAACACCTGTTTTCATGTGCTGTTTTAACCCCGTTTCATCCACGTTTCAAACGAGGAGGCAGCCAGGAAAGGCTGAGGGCTCGCCTAGGGGAGTGGAAGGGAGGACGGGCACCGGAGAGCTTGGCCTGGTGCTATGGGGAAGGCGGGGTCAGTGAACAGCACTTGTCCAAACGCTACCAGCATCAGTACTGACTCCGCCATGGGCCGTCAGTGCATTAGGGACCCGAGTTCGAGACCTGCTGCTCGCAGGTTCTTAAAAAGGACAGTCAGACAATGGCAGTACTTGGATGCACTTGGACCAGACAGGATAGTCTGGGGAATACATGAGTAATAATCAGTTGTACTTTAAACATTTCTATTTTTTTGCTACTTTGTTGTTTTTAAGGGGGAAAGTTTAGATTTCCCAATTTCCTTTTCAGACCATATTTCACATCCTTCCGCGCCTTGCAGGCCTTGTTGAAGACGAGTGGATCGCCATCGACAAGTTTGCCAAGTTCACGGACCTGCCCTCGGGGGCCGGGGCTCCCCGCTACCTCTCCACGACGCAGCTGCGGGAGCTGAGGCCAGGGGACTGGGCGCAGCAGGACGCGGGTGAGTGTCCCTCCCGCTGCCGGCCGGCCGGGCGGCCACCCGCCGGGCTGAGGGGCTGGCTCTCGAGGCCGGGAACGCGGCTCCCGGGGAGCAGACGGGAACGCGGTGGGACCACCGGTACGTCCAGGGCCTCGGCGTCGCTGTGAAAAGCCAGCACCCGCATCTGCTTCCTCATGAATTCTCCTTAGAGATTTTGTTAATGCTCTCTGCTTTTCCACTGTATGTTTCTGTAAAATAGGTTTTAAAAAGGGCCAAATTCTGAGTGAAGCAGAGACCTGGGTTCTAATCCATCCTCGCTGGTTGGCAACCGCTTCCCGCTGTCTCCCTCCCCAGCTCTCTCTGGCCCACTCCCCGCCGTCTCCCTCCCCGGCTCCCTCCGGCCCACTCCCCTGCTTTTCCCACACAGCCACGCAACCGAGCCATCCAAGGCCAAGCTCTTTTTAAAGCCACAACTGATCCCAACAGCTGTGCCCCGAGGTCTGCATTCTTGCCCCAAACCCCTAGCCAGGCCCTCGCTGAACTTGAGGTCTCCTCTGCCCGGCTGTGCCCGGGCGGGACACTCCACAGCTCAGTGCCAGGCCTCCCGGCGGGACTGACCCCCTCCAGGCTGCTCCATCACATGCGGGACTGGTTTCCACAGGCGCCCGCTGCGGGGACACAGACCAGCAGTCCGAGTGGACAGACGTTCAGAAGAAGATTCTCCCGTGGAGACACGCGGCTCCCGACGCAGACCTGGAGCTGGCGTTCCAGGATCGCGCTGCCAGGCTGGGCAAGGCCATCAGCCGCCTGATCGTCGTGGCCTCCCTCATCGACAAGCCCACCAACCTGGGAGGTAGCTGCGTCCGGGGCCCCCAGACCTGCAGATCCTGAGCGGCCATCAGCGCACGGCCACGTGGCCGTCTCCCCGGCGGCCGCTGCGGAGGCAGGGTGCGGGCACAGGGCGCTCAGCCTCACGCTGACGGTCCCGCTTCTCCGCAGGCCTGTGCCGCACCTGCGAGGCGTTCGGGGCGGCGGCGCTGGTGGTCAGCAGCCTGCAGTGCGTCAGCGACAAGCAGTTCCAGCAGCTCAGCGTCTCGGCGGAGCAGTGGCTGCCTCTGGTGGAGGTGGGTGGCAGGGTCCCGGCTGGGGGCTGTCGCTCCATCTGCAGTCTCCTTCCTCGTGGTCGGCTCAGGTGCAGGAATTCACAGCAGTTAACACTCCAGCAAAACAGCCCAATGCTGTTCCCAGGTTCCCTATCATCTCCACGTGGTGGTGCTTTTAGAAACCAGTCATGCAGGATTCCTTCCAGGAAGCATGCCTTCCTGGTGTAGGAATAACTATACGCTTCTGTGATGTTGGGAGTTCTTGTTTATAGTGTCTAGTTCTTTTCTAAAAGACTTGAGCAAGCTCAGCCTGGTGGGTGTTTTTAAACTCTCTCAGCGAAGCTGGGGCTGACTTTCTGCTCTTGAAACGGCTGCAGGTGAAGCCGCCGCAGCTGGCGGGCTACCTGCGGCAGAAGCAGGCGGAGGGCTACACGGTCATCGGCGTGGAGCAGACGGCCCGCAGCACCGCCCTCGCCCAGTACTGCTTCCCGGAGCGGACGCTGCTCCTGCTGGGGTGAGTGCCTCCCCGCGGCTCGGCTGGAACCGTCCAGCTGCACTGACCCCTGCTCTCGCCTGTGACGCTGTGGGAAGCCCCGGCTTCCCCGTATCTCACCCGGGTGGGTGGTCTCGTCACTTAGGCTGGCCCTTTCCCCCAGGACTGAGGCAGGAACAAAAAGCCCCGGCTGCCTGGGAAAGCACTACCTGTCCTCTCCCCTCACAGGAACGAGCGGGAGGGCATCCCGGCCGGGCTGATCCAGCAGCTGGACGTGTGCGTGGAGATCCCGCAGCTGGGCGTCACCCGCTCGCTCAACGTGCACGTGAGCGGCGCCCTGCTCGTGTGGGAGTACGTCCGGCAGCAGCTGCGCCGGCGCGGGGGCGCCCAGGCGTGAGCCCCACTTCTCCGAGAGGAGGTACCGGTGCTATGGGGACAGCTAGAAAAATCTGCACAAATGACACAGACTCTGGATTTACCAGAATAATTTGTGCATTTTTTCCTTATAACTTAATGCCAAACTTTTTCATGTGCCTTAAACATATTACGATAAATTATATTGCTTCTTTAGTAAAATGTTTTAAGCAACTGTGGAAATAAAACTATTTCTAAAAGATCATTTCTCTCCTAGGAACTTTTGTTTTTTTCTTAGTAGGCAGGAACCCAGTGTGCTGGTGAGCAGGAGAGAGGACATCCTTACCTTGTTACTGATTTGGGGGAAAACATTCCTTGGGCCATTGCTGAGTATATTAGCTATTATAGCTGTACAGTTTAGGTTCTTCCTATCACCATGTTTTGGTGCCGCTATTAAAATGGTAACTCCTAAGACACACATGACAACCTGCTTTATTTACAGTAGCTGCCCACTACCATCCTGTAGCCCAGTGGTCGGCAAACTCATTAGTCAACAGAGCCAAATATAAACAGTACAATGATTAAAATTTGAGAGCCAAATTTTTTAAACACAGTTTATTAACTTAATTAGGGTATTTCTAAGATGGCCTTTGCTAAAAACTCAAGGGGCCAAAGAGCCGCATGTGGCTCGTGAGCCGCAGTTTGCTGACCACTGCTCTAACCAAAAAAATAGGCACTTGTGTTTTCATAACAGGCTTTAATTCTTAAAATAGATCTCTTACTAAATTAAAGCTGAGCATGTTTCATACCACTATGTCAGTTCTGTGCTACCTGATCATTTTCATTAAAAGTCACACGGGCAGAGGTGCCGGTGTTTACTGTGACTGGAGCCACCGCAGTCCGCGGAGCGTGTGGAAATGTCCAGAAAGAGTCTACCTTTTGGAGTGCCAGGAACAGCCTACGACTTGGCGGTGGTTGAAGGCTGGAACTGTCCGGCTTCAAATTTTTCTTTAAATTTTAAGTAGTCTCTTCTTTTATCAAAATATTTTATCTGTTGAGAAAAAGCGGTCTGAAATAAGGTCGGGTTATGCAGCTTGGATAAACAAAAGTACAGATTTAAATGTAACAGGTTATATTCAATATAAAATGTGTAAGCGGCCTGAGTCAGTTATATTCTAGAACCATCTCAAAGCAGTACATTAGATGCATAAAAGTCTTGGAAAAGGATGTAGACCAATAAGTCACAACCCTTTTGGATTACAGACCCTATTGAGCCCATAAATAAGCAATCAAAATCAATTAGGAAATAAACTACCAGGAGACAAATGAAAACACAACTTTGCAAATTTTATGGCTGCAGCAACAGTAGTTCTAAGCTATGCACCTCAAATAAGAAAAATCCCAAACAAACCAAGTTTACAACTAAAAAGGAACTAGAAAAAGAACACCCCCCACCCCCAATAGAAAAGATCAATGAAACTTCGAGCTGGTTCTTTGAAAAGACAAAATTGACAAAACGTTAGCCAAACTCATCAAGAATAAAATACCCCAAATAAATTCATAAATGAGAGAAGTTACAAATGACACCACAGAAATATAAAACATTAAGGCTGCCAACAAATTCAATTTTTCTAAAGTCTATAACCTCCCAGGACTGAACCAGGAAAAAAAAAAAACCTGAACAGACTTGACTAGTAATGAAATTAAAGCATAATCAAAAAACGCCCAGCAAACAAAGGTCCGGGGCCAGACCACTTCCCAGGTGAATCCTACCAAACACTTAACGAATTAATCCCTCTCCTTAAATGACTTCAAAGAACACCGAAGAGGAAGGAATGCTCCCCCCAAACCAGGTAAAGGTGTGACCAAAAAAGAAATGACAGGCCAAGATCCTTGACGAGAAAATCCTCAACAAAACCCTAGCCAACTGGATCCAGCAACACCAGACTTAGGGTTGGCAGTGTGGCTCAGTGGTAGCGGTGAGTGGGAGGATACAGGACAGGTGTCCCGTGTAAGCGTGGAGCCTGCACTCGGGGCCTGTGAGCTGTGAGCAGGGCGGAGGGCGAGGCCTCGGTGGCACCAGCCTGTGTGAGGAGAGCACGGGAGAGAAGCCGCAGCCGGCTGTACAGACCCCCGCAGAGCGCAGAACCGCCCGCCCGGAAGCAGGGGAGCGGGAGGCAGCGCCCAGGCCGCCCTCACCCACAGCCTCACGCGTGACCCCAGTGCTTTCCAAACAAGTGGGTTCTCTTTCCAGCCACAGGTGAGGCTGGGACACAGCTACTTGTTCTTTAAAATCTGCACCGGATTCGGACACGCAGCCTGCGTGGAAAATGACGGCTGGACTGTCAGGGATCTCCTGGGGAAATGGGGTGGCCCCCAGCACCCTGCCCTTCACCCACATCACTCCTGCCTCCAGCTCCCTCCCATCCTCAGCCCCCCGCTGCCAGGGACCACAGGTGGGCGGAGGGCAGGGGAGGGGGCGCGTGGGCAGTGAGGGCATCAGGGTCTGGCAGCAATCAGGTGTGCCATCAGCCCAAACTCCGAACCAGGAGCCCCTCAGTGAATCCCTCCAAGGCAGCGGTGGGCAAACTCATCCGTCCGCAGAGCCAAATCTCAACAGCACAACGATGGACATTTCTTCGGAGAGCCAGTTTTTAAACCTAAACTTCTCCCAACGCCACTTCTTCAACATAGACTCGCCCAGGCCGCGGTGTTTTGTGGAAGAGCCACACTCAAGGGGCCAAAGAGCCACATGTGGCTCGAGAGCCACAGTTTGCCGACCGCGGCAAACTCATTAGTCAGCAGAGCCAAATACAACAGTGCAACGATGGAAGTGTCTTTCAAGAGCCAAAAACCGGCTTCTGCTCATGGGCCACGAAGTTGCGATTGCACTGCCCACACGTGGTATTTTGTGGAAGAGCCACATTCAAGGGGCCAAAGAGCCGCAGTCTGCCAACCACTGCCAGTGGTTCTCCACCTTCCTAATGCCGGACCCTTTAATACAGCTCCGCATGCTGTGGTGACCCCCAATCTCCGATGGTCTAGGCTCCACAGCAGCAATTCTCAACCTGTGGCTCACCCCACACCAGCAGGGTCGCCTCGGACCATCAGGAAACACAGATATTTACGTTAGGACTCACAACAGTAGCACCATCACAGCTAGGAAGCAGCAACGGCCATGATGTCCTGGTGGGTCACACGGCACGAGGAGCTGTGCTGGAGGCCGCGGCGTTCGGAGGCTGAGGACCGCGGGGAGTGACCGGAAGTGCGTTGGGGGGCCTCCGTCCCTACCTACTCCAGCCAGCAGCCCCCCGCCCAGCTTTAAGCTTGTGTCGTCAGACACTGGACCTTCACAGAAGCCCACCAGCCGGTGGGCCCTGCTGGTTTACAGACCGAGAGGTCCCCACGCAACCTCTGTCCCCCGAGCTCCCGCCCAGCCTGGCCCCAGCAGGACCCCGCCTCCATCACCCCCCGGGGACCCCCCCCCAGCCCCAGCTCCTCCCCAAAGGTCAGGTGTGAGGCCGTGAAGACCCTAAGGCCACTCCACCCCAACGCCACCTGCGCTCACACCGCCGGGAGACAGGGCGGCACACGCTGTGGACAAACAAGCACAGAGGCCGCTCTGACCGGCAGAGCACGGGACCTCCCGCTCTGAGCGTCGGCCGCCACTGCCGAGGGCAGCGACAGCGCTCATTCATTACTTCATGGTGTTTCTCACTGATTTCAGAAGCAGGAAGGGAGAGCGACAGAGACATCAATGACAGTCACCCACCAGCTGCCTCCTGCATGCTCCTGCCACCTCCCCAAAACCCCAGTCATTAACCGTGACCTCCTGGGTCAGCGGTCGGCAAACTCGTTGGTCCACAGAGCCAAATAGCAATAGGACGACGATTGACATTTGAGAGCCAAATTTTTTAAACTTAAACTTCTAATGCCACTTCTTCCACATAGACTTGCCCAGGCCGTGGTATTCTGTGGAAGAGCCACACTCCAGGGGCCAAAGAGCCGCATGTGGCTCGTGAGCAGCAGTTTGCCGACCGCTGTCCCGGTTCATAGGTCGACACTCACCACTGCACCACACCGGCCGGGCCCAACAGCACTGAGGGCGCTCACAGAAGGCACACCCCCCTTACCCAGGATCACTAATGGGCTCAACGCTGTTGGTCCCCTCCCACAGCCCGCCATTCTGCGGACCCGCCGGCAGGGCGGGGCCCTGTCAGGGAGGCACTGAGGGCAGAATCGGCCCCAGGCACATCTCCGTTGATTGCAGGGTCTAGGATAAGGCTTTTGGCGGGACAGTCCCGATTCTTAACAATTTGTCCGGTGTCCCTCGGCGTTTTAAAAAAAAGTCCAAAAGATTTAAAAAGATTCTTTCCAAAAATCTTTTTTGAAACGCCGAGGGTCGCGGGACAGCTTGTTAAAAAGCGGGACGCCGGGTCACCTTAGTCTGGGACGCGGTGGTCCGGGTGGGCCCCTGGGCGTGGGTTCTCGGGGAGGGCGGCTCCGGGCCAATGGCTGAGCCTCCTCTGGCCCCGGAGAAGTCTGCCCACGTGGCGGGCTGGGTTTGGGGGGCTACGATCCCGGGGTGCGTGTTGTTTTTCCGTGATCCTGGGGGGTGTGGGGGGGGCTGATGCCAGCCCGCGGCCTGGCTGACCCCACAAGGTTCCCTCGGGACCCCACACGCCCACGCCAGCACCTCCGCTCGCAGCCTCCACCCAACTCGGCAGGTTCCCCCCACCCTCCCACCCCGACACCCCAATCTGTGCACCCCACGGGGGGGGGGGGCTCACCCACTGCTGGGGGCAGCTGGCCTCGAAGGCGCGTCGCAGCGTCTGGCAGCGGCCGGCGTCCCCCTCGTGCTCGTCCAGGCACCGCCAGTACTCGTCCCGGGCGCCCCAGCACGCCTGCCGCTCCCTCATGGTGGGCGCCGCCATCCCGGCTCCTGCCGGCCAGGACACAGGCGTCAGGGCCGAGGCCGGGGCAGCACGGCGCTCCCCGCCGGCCCGCCCGGCTTCTCTAAGTGACGCTATTATTATTAGTTTTTAATGTTTAAAAAACGTTTCACTGCCGAAACCGGTGTTTCTAACTCTCCATTCCCCTTTCTTCCTCTCTAAAAAAATCAATAAAAAAAAAACCACAAAAACTTTTCACCGCCGAAACCGGGGTGGCTCAGTGGATGGAGCGTCGGCCTGTGGACTGAAGGGTCCCGGGTTCGATTCCGGTCCAGGGCATGGACCTTGACTGCGGGCACATCCCCAGCAGGGGGTGCGCAAGAGGCAGCTGATCGATGTTTCTCTCTATTCCTCTTTCTTCCTCTCTAAAAAAATCAATTAAAAAAAACCCACAAAAACTTTTCACCAACGAAACCGGGGTGGCTCAGTGGATAGAGCGTCGGCCTGTGGGCTGAAGGGTCCCGGGTTCGACTCGTCAAGGGCATGCACCTGGGTAGCGGGCACATCCCCAGTGGGGGGTGCGCAGGAGGCAGCTGATCGATGATTCTCTCTCATCGATGTTTCTAACTCTCATCCCTCTCCCTTCTTCTCTGTAAAAATCCATAAATGATATATTTTTAAAAACTCTTTACTGATGTCAGAGAGAGAGAAGTATCCGTGATGAGAGGGAATCTCATCGGCCGCCTCCTGCACGCCGCGCACTGGGGACCCAGCGCGTGCCCTGATGGGGAATTGAACCCTGACCTCCAGGTTCATAGGTCAACGCTCCAGCCCTGAGCCCGCCGCCCGGCGGCCGGAGGAGCAGCTGGGAGCCATCAGCCCGCATCGCCGGCACCTGCAGCCGCCCGCGGGCGGCGGCCTGGGGGGCCCGGTGAGCGCCACGCCCCGCGGCCCCGGGCCCGGAGGGCGCTCGCTCACCTGCTCCAGCCGCTTCCCCGTCGGTAACACGGGGGCCGCGGCGCCCCCTCTCCCGCGTGCGGTTCGCTCCAACCCACTCTCCCCGCAAATGGGGGACGCGCCGTGCGCACGAGGGACCGACCCCGCCGCGGTCCGGCAGCAAACCTGCCTCTCCGTCCGCTCCGAGGGGCGAACGGGCCCCGCGCGCTGGGCTCAGGCACGGAGATGTCGGCGCCACCGGCCAGCAACTCGCCCGGCGGGGTCGCCGGCGTCGCAATGACCCTCACCGGCCGCCGTCGACGTGCGGGGAGACGGGACTTCCGGTTCCGCTCGCTCCCCTGGGGCGGGACTTCCGCCCTGCTGGGCGAGGGGCAGGTGCCTGGGACCAGGCGGTGGTCCTTTGGCTCCGCCCACCGGCCTGGGTCACGTGTGTGGTCCCGCCCCGCCCCCTCGCAGGTTCCGGCTGGGACGCCCTAGGCCCCTTTCCCGGACCGGAAGCTCTCAGTCTCACGTTCCGCCACCCGGAAGGTTTAGGCGAGGGCACTGCCCGGCGACCACGTGGGACCGGTACCAGAGGGAGGAGGGCAGGGCCGAGCGAGCACCAGCTGCGCACGTTCGATTCCTCCCTTCCCAGATTTTTAAAAAATGCGTTCTTGCCAAAACCAGTGTGGCTCAGTGGATAGAGCGTCGGCCTGCGGACTGAAGGGTCCCAGGTCCGATTCCGGTCAAAGGCATGGACCTTGGTTGCGGGCACATCCCCAGAGGGGGGTGTGCAGGAGGCAGCTGATGGATGTTTCTCTCTCATCGATGTTTCTCTCTATCCCTCTCTCTTCCTCTCTGTAAAAAAATCAATAAAATATATTTTTAAAAAATAAAAATGCATTCTTTTTATATACATATTTTTATTGATTTCAGAGAGGAAGGGAGAGGGAGAGAAACATCAATGATGAGAGAGAACCATGGATCGGCTGCCTCCTGCACACCCCACCCTGGGGATGTGCCTCCTGCACACCCGACCTGGCAACCCAGGCCTGTGCCCTGACCAGGAATCGAACCCTGATCTCCTGGTTCAGAGGTCGACACTCAACCACTGAGCCATGCCTGCCAGGCCAGCGCTGTGTCCTTGATGTCACAGGCTCAGGGCTTGTCTTCTGCAGGCCTGCCTGCCTGCCTTTCACTCCTCGGAAATCAAATGTCTGTACAGTCAGAATTGTCTTTCCTTCCCCAAGTTGGTGGTCTGGGTGCCTGGCAGGGAGAGAAAGCTTTACGGGTTCCGGGGTGCTGGGTACATCACCCCGTCGCCATCAAGACAACGACACGCTTCTTTTGAAACCCTTTATTCATCTGTTGGGCCCCGCAGGTCATGGAAACGGAGAAAAATAATAATCGGCTAAAAAGTTCCGGTCCCCGGGGCCCCCGTGCCCCTATGCACCTTTGGTGGGTTATGGCAGCGTTTTCAAAATAAGGTTTTCCCTTTCGTATGTCACGATGTAAACGTCAAAAAATAGTAAACTCTAGCCCCTCTTCCGCAGGCCCATCACAGGCAGCACTTCCTGGCAGAGCTACACGGTGGAAGTCAACAGCCTGGCGTGAGGCGACTCAGCAGAAGTTGCACGGGTTCGGGAGGTCATGCTTCCGTCACAGTCACTCAGCGGCCCTCTCCGCCGTGGTCCCACCGAGAACACGCTCCATCACATCACCGTCAGCTTGGCCATTTCTGGACACACACACACACACATACACACACACATACACACACACATGCCCATAATATGTAGTTTTATTGTTTTTGTTTGTTTGTTTGTTTTAAAGATTTGTACAATCTGAACGATAAGATGGAGCCAGAGACGGAGAATTGTCCCTGGCTTCACACATAGGCCAAGATGAAGTTTCTGTAGAAGGCACTGGAATGTCCCGTGGGACCTTGGACAGACTCGCGAGAGTGAGAGAGAGAGAGAGAGAGAGAGAGAGAGAGAGAGAGAGAGAGAGCGAGCAAGCTGGCGGGGTGGGACGATTCCCCCCATGACCTCCTCCACCTGCTCTCCCCCCGCCCTCCCCGCCCACCGGGCTGGTCCTAGAGATGGCTTACAATGTCCGTTCTCCTTCTGCGTGTCCCCTCTTCTTCCTCTCCGTCTGTCCATCCGAACTCACTCACGGCTATCCTCTGGTTCCTTGCGATCGCTTGAGAAATAGAGAGTCCAGCTCCGGCATGAGACAAAGGATGACCTCCCGCAGCACGCCGCTGGGAAGGAATCACAGTGTGCGACGGGGTTCTCGGTCCAGAAGATCCGGAACCTGTGGTCCCCTCCCCGGATGGCTCCTCCACGCTCTCCATTCACTGAGCAAGAGCGGAGGGTCCGAGTCGGTGGGTACCGTGCGTGGAAGGTCTGATGTGGACGAGAGCAGGCGGATCGGACACGCCCGTGGCTACCGTCCGTGGGACTCACCCCGGTGACCCGGACTGTACACGTATGCACACGCCCGCCGGCCCGCCGAGGGAGGCGGTGTCTAGGGAACAGACCTCCGGACCCTTCCTTCACGCGAGCGGCGCCCCCGGCGTGTCCTGGAGGCCGGCCGGCCGGCCGGCCGGTCAGCGGGCGAAGGAGGGCCGGGCCCTCCTCCTGTTCTGGGGGCCGGAGCCCAGGTCCCCGCCGCTCTCCGCCGGCTCCTCCTTCTTCCTGACCTTGAGGCGGGTGAGCAGCTTGACCAGCCAGACGTCCCACTCCTCGGGCAGCAGCAGGAGGAGGAAGCCCAGGCCGATGATGACGATGGCGATGACCCGGACCCCGTTGAAGACGATGTTGGTGGTATAGTGGTCGACCACTGCGGAGCAGGGGGGCGGGGGGGTGGGAGGGCGGAGAACGGGGTTACTCAGCGAGGAGCCAGGCCCGAGGGGGGCCAGGGGACAGGGGGCGGGTCCTCGCAGGGGGGCGGGCCGTCCTCTCAAAGGCCCCAGAACCTTCCTTTTTTTAAAAAAAATATATATTTTTAGCCGAAACCTGTTTGGCTCAGTGGATAGAGCATCGGCCTCTGGACTGAAAGGTCCCGGGTTCGATTCCAGTCAAGTATCTTGGTGGTGGGCACATCCCCAGTAGGGGGTGAGCAGGAGGCAGCTGATCAATGATTCTCTCTCATCGATGTTTCTAACCCTCTGTCCCTCTCTCTTCTTCTCTGTAAAAAATCAATAAAATATATTAAAACTATATATATATTTATTGATTGATTCCAGAGATGAAGGGAGAGGGAGTGAGAGAGAAGCACCCATGATGAGAGAGGATCATGGGTCGGCTGCCTCCTGCACACTCCACACTGGGGATCGAACCCACAACTGGGCTTGTTTGTGCCTTTGACCGGAATCGACCCCGGGACCCTTCAGTCCACAAGCCGACGCTCAATCCACTGAGCCACACCGGCTAAGGCAGAACCGTCCGTCCTTGGGTTCTGTTCCCGGTGGCAGGGGCTGCCGCAGGCACTTCACCCTTCACTCCCTCTGGCGAGAGGCCTTGAACTTGGGGTCGGTTCCCGCAACTCACCTGGGTTCAGACACGGATTTGTTAGGCGAATAGGCAGGGGGCGGGCACACATAGGTGGACAGCTGTTCATATGTAAAAATAATACAATGATTGCCCGGCCAGTGTGGCTCGGGTTAAGAGTCAGCTCATGCGTCGGCTTGGGGACTGAAGGGTCCCGGGTTCGATTCCGGTCAAGGGCATGTACGTTGGTTGCGGGCACATTCCCAGTAGGGGGTGTGCAAGAGGCAGCTGATCGATGACTCTCTCTCATCGATGTTTCTAGCTCTCTATCTTTCTCCCTTCCTCTCTGTACAAAATCAATAAAATATATTTAAAAAAAAAAAAAAAAAGAGTCAGCTCATGAACCAGGAAGTCACGGGTTCGATTCCCGGTCAGGTTACAGTCCCGGGTTTTGGGCTCCATCCCCAGAAGGGGGCGTGCAGGAGGCAGCCGATCCATGATTCTCTCTCATCATTGTTGTTTTTCTCTATCCCTCTCCCTTAAAAGAAAATGAAAAAAAGAATACAGTAATTACTAAATAATAACCCAAGAATAAACTTTGTTTGACCTGCTCGCAACCACAGGCTCCATCCTGTATAAACCAGAGCTTGCCTGTGGGTGTCAGGACAATGACCACCTGATGGTTCCTCTATATTTTTGGTACTTTCCGTGGTCTCTGCAACGACATGCTTTATTCTTGGAATCTGAGAGCATCACTTCATCCATGACGTATGCACATCTCTATGTTTTTGTTTTTTAAAAAAATATATTTTATTGATTTTTTTTTACAGAGAGGAACAGAGAGTTAGAAACATCGATGAGAGAGAATCATCCATCAGCTGCCTCCTGCACACCCCCTACTGGGGATGTGCCCGCAACCCAGGTACATGCCCCCGACCGGAATCGAACCCGGGACCTTTCAGTCCGCAGGCCGACGCTCTATCCACTGAGCCACACCGGTTTCGGTACATCTCTATGTCTTGAAGATCAAACTGGAACAGAACTGGTGCAGATAATCAATATAAGTGCTTGGTCCCTCCCAGCGTGACGGAGGAGACGAGCCAGCTAGGGGTCAGGAGGCAGGCTCCCAAGGTGCTCTGTGTGTGCGGGAGCGTGTGGACGCATGTGCAGGCGTGTGTCCGTTTACGACCCAGCGCAGGGAGACTCACCTGCATTCACAGGAACGCTGAGGACGATTCCGAGGGACATCAGGGTGGGGTAGGTGACGGCGATTCCGAAATTTAGCACAACGTTGAACGCTGGAACAGAGCAGGAAGCGGTTATGCGTGACCGGCCCTGGCCGGCCTCCGTGGCTCTGTCTGACCCCAGCTCCCCGGATCGCTGCCCTTGGCTCTGACCCCGAGAACCCGGGGGTGGGAAGGTTTTCGGGGGGCTCTGGGATGTGGGGATTAAGGACGATTTTCCTGAGGACTCAGCTGTCCTCTCTGTCCCTGAAGAAGGAAGAGAAATTTGGGGACGGTGACCAGTGAGAAGGCGCCAGAGAGGCGGATGGGCCTGCTCACCCTTTCTTGCCCGCCTGGCTGGCAGGGACCCGGGGTGGACTATGTGACAGGGGTGCTGGGTCTGCATGTTTATGTTTGATTCTTAAATACATTTATATTGATTTCAGAGAGGAAGGGAGAGGGGGAGAGAGAGGAACGTCAATGATGAGAATTATGGATCGGCTGCCTCCTGCACGCCCCCACATGGGGATGGAGCCCACAACCCGGGCTTGTGCCCTGACCGGGAATCAAACTGTGACCTCCTGGTTCATAGGTCAACACTCAACCCCTGAGCCACGCCGGCTGGACGCTGGTAACATTTATTGAACACCAATAAGTGTCAGCGTTCAAGTGTCAGAAGGCAGCCGATCCATGATTCTCTCTCATCATCAATGTTTCTCTCTCTCTCCCTCTCCCTTCCTCTCTGAAACCAATAAAAATATATTTGTAAAAAGTAAGAAAGCAGGAATGTTGATGGTGGTTATACAAACGCAGTGTTTTCCCGGTCACCGCGGGCAGACAGCCGGGGCCGGGAGGGGCACTCACTCAGCAGGAGGACGGAGAAGCCGCAGAGGCTGCCCCAGGGGATGGCGGAGAAGGGGCTCCAGTACTCGATGCGGGTGACGTAGAGGACGACGGGGACGCAGGAGACGAAGAGCAGGTTAAACACGCCCAGGACGGACAGGAATAGGGCGGCTTCCCCGAACTGCGCGCTGCCCAGGAGGAGCTTGAAGAGAACCTGCAGGAGGCGAGAGGCTGCAGGTCAGCTGGTGAGGCCCGGCTCGGCCGGGCTGGACCGTGGGACTGAGCCACCGGACAGCGAGTCCCCTGCCAGGCCTGTGGGGAGGGCGGCCAGACTGGCGCTCACTCCCCACATCACACATCCAGTGACGTCACTGATCCAGTGACATCACTAATCCAGTGACATCACAGACCCAGTGACATCACGGGGGAGTTTGTCAGGGCACATGCCAGGGTTGTGGGCTCCATCCCCAGTGTGGGGCATGCGGGAGACAGCCGATCCCTGATTCTCATCGTGGATGTTTCTCTCTCTCGCTCCCTCTCCCTTCCTCTCTGAAATCAATAAAAATGTATTTAAAAAAAAATTTTTTTTAAATGACCTTCCCCAGTCCTCGCGAATGATGTCACCCGTGTCCCCCTGAAGGCCCACGGCCACACCCATTCGGTCCCAAATGCTCCCGAGGCTGGGCCACCCAGGGGCGGGTGAGGGGAGCCGGGCACCGGCCCCACCGAGGTCCCCGCCGGCCTCACCTTGTAGAGGGCGGACATGGACGCCGAGCCCACCACCAGCGCGATGCCGATGACCGAGTGGCTGTGGAAGCCGTCAGCGTAGGTCAGCATCACGATCCCGGCGATGGCGAGGATGGCGGCCACGATCTGCGGGGAGGGAGGAGACGGTGGGCGGGGACCCGGGACCCCGCGGGCCAGCGAGGCCCGGTGTCCCCGAGCTCGGGAGCTGAGGGGAACGGGCCTCCTTCTCAGTCCCTTAAAAAAAAAAAAAAACAATGTCAGAGAGGAAGAGGGAGAGAGAGAGAAACATCCATGATGAGAGAGAATCGCTCAACGCCGGGCATTGGGGATAGAGCCCGAAACCCGGTCCCTTCAGTCCACAGCCGACGCTCTAGCCACTGAGCCACACCGGCCAGGGCGCGGTCCTTCCTGGAACAGCCAGCCAAGGCTGCCTCCTCTAAACCTTTGCTCCTGGCTAGAGGGGAAGAGCCTGGCATGGCCGAAGCTCCATGACTCCCCAGCCCCGACATCACCTCCTGTGGTCTCGCTTCTTTGTGTTTTTTTTTGTTTATTTTAAAATATATTTTATTGATCTTTTACAGAGAGAAAGGGAGAGGGACAGAGAGCCAGAAACACCGATGAGAGAATAACATCGACCAGCTGCCTCCTGCACACCCCTCACCGGGGATGTGCCCGCAACCAAGGCACACGCCCTCGACCGGAATTGAACCTGGGACCCTTCAGTTCACAGGCCGACGCTCTATCCACTGAGGCACACCGGTTTCGGCTCCTTTTTTTTTTTTTTTTTAAAGAGAGAGACTAGGAGGGCAGGGAAGCAACAGACCCAGAGAGAGAAACACGGATATGTGAGAGACCCAGAACTGGCTGCCTCTGACACACGCCTTAGACGGAGGACTGGGCATGGAGCCTGCCACCGAGGGACATGCCCTTGACCGCACTCGAACCCAGTACCCTTCCATCCACGGGCCCACACTCTCTCTCTCTCCACGGAGCCCCACCGGGGAGGGCCACACCTCCCCACCCCCCACTCCCCGGGCTGGGCGCCCCGACGGGCACCCACTTCAGGGGATGCCCGTGCAGAAGCTTGAAATGAGAAGCTTTCCTGGATTCTCGTCGAGAGGATGGTTTGCAAGCGAGAAGGTCTGCCAGGCACACTGAGAACAGGCCCCCTCCCCACCCCCGTGCCCCCCACCGCCGGCTCCTTGCTGCCTCCAGATCGGACGGAAGGAGGGCGGCCAGGCGGTGTGAGCACGGAGGCAGGCGGGGGGCCAGGACTTACCCGCACGCCCATGAACCTGTCCCTGAGCACAATCCACGAGAGCAAGAACACAAAGGCCTTGTTGCAGCAGAAGAGCACGGAGGCGTCCGTGGTGTTGATTTTCTTTATTGCGTGTAAGTACAGGTAGTTTGTGAGCGTCCACAGGACACCGAACGGGGCCGCCTTGGTGAAAAACACCTTCAGCGTCAGGCCACTGCCTCCAAAGAAGCGGCAGCATTCCCTAGAACGGGAGAGAAGGCAGCGTCATTAGAGTCACATCGGTGCCCGGAGGGGGGTGGGGGGGGCCCCCTCCGCCCGGCCTGCATCCTCTCGCAATCCGGGACCCCTCAGGGGGATGTCCGACTGCTGGTTTAGGCCCGATCCCTGCAGCCAGACACCTGGCAGTCAGACATCCCTCTCGCAATCCGGGACTGCTTGCTCCTAACAGCTCTCCTGCCTGCCTGCCAGCCTGCCTGCCTCTAACTACTCCCCTGCCTGCCTGCTCAGCGCATGTCCTAGGACTGGCAGTTCCAATCATTCTGCCTTAACAGTCGCTTAGGCTTTTATACATATAGTTTTTCCTCCTACGCCTGGTCTCTTTCGTTTTGTCTTTATTTATTTATTTATTTATTTATTTTTAAATCGATGTCAGAGAGGAAGGGAGAAGGGGACAGAGAGACACATCAGCGATGAGAGAGAATCACGGATCGGTTTCTTCCTGCACGCCCCCCCCCCCCCCCCCCCGCACCCTGGGGATCCAAACTGCAACTGGGGCTTGTGCCCTGACCGGGAATCAAATCCCGATCTCCTGGTTCAGAGGTCGACGCTCAGCCACTGCACATCATCATCATTAGTATTTTAAATAATTTTTTTTTTAAATTTCTGAGAGGAAGAGAAAAGAGAGAAACATCCATGATGAGAGAGAATCGTGGATCGGCTGCCTCCTGCACGCCCTCCCCCCTCCCCTAGGGATGGGGCCTGCAACTGGGCATGTGCCCTGACCGGGAATTGAACCCGCAACCTGCTGGTTCATAGACGGATGCTCCATCACTGAGCCGCAGGGGCCACGGCCAGGCTGTCTTTTCTTTAAAGCACTCACAGGAAGGGTGGGACCTTGTCACGTATCACAATCATTATGGACGTGCAGGGAAGAGAACGTTGCACAGTGATCTGACGCCACCTTCTTCCCTCTGTGCACGCCAGGTCAGACCCTGATGCTTTGACAGAAGGCGGTGCTGCAATCGTGCCAATGATGCCAACCTATTTCATTTTATTTTATTATTTTATTTTAAAAAATGTATTTCTTATTGATTTTTTTTTTTATAAGAGGAAGGGAGAGGAACAGAGAGTTAGAAACATTAATGAGAGAGAATCATCGATCAGCTGCCTCCTGCACACCCCCCACTGGGGATGTGCCCGCAACCAAGGCACATGCCCTGGACCGGAATCGAACCTGGGACCCTTCAGTCCGCAGGCCCACGCTCTATCCACTGAGTCAGGTCAATGTCAACCTGTTCTAACGAAGAGGTGGACCCTTGTTACGGGAACACAGTGCAAGGAGGATTTCCAAGGTCCAGCTGACTCACCCTCACACACAATGATTCATGTTGGGACCGGAGCCATCCGAAGCCAACCGGAAGCTTACATCCCTTCCGAGAACCTGCCTTTGGTGATGGGTGCAGGCGTGGGGGGTCCTACCGACTGAGTCACGAGCTGGCTAAGATCTATTTATTTCAATGTATTTTCATTGATGTCAGAGAGGAAGGGAGAGCGAGAGCGAGAGCGAGAGCAAGAGCGAGAGAGAGAGAGAGAGAGAGAGAGAGAGAGAGAGAGAGAGAGAGAGAGAGAGAGAGAGAAACATCAGTGATGAGAAAGAACCATGGACCGGCTGCCTCCTGCACACCCCACACTGGGGATGGAGCCTGCAACCCGGGCCTGTGCCCTGACCAGGAATTGAACCCTGACCTCCTGGTTCCTAGGTCGATGCTCAACCACTGAGCCATGCTGGCCGGGCTAGCAGCTCCTTTTTCACCAGCAACATTGTGTGTGTGTGTGTGTGTGTGTGTGTGTGTGTGTGTGTGTGTGAGAGAGAGAGAGAGAGAGAGAGAGAGAGCGAGAGAGGGAGGGAGAGAGGGAGGGAGAAAGGGAGAGTGAGTGTGTGTGTAACTGTGTGTGAGTATGTGTGTGTGTGTGTGTGTGTGTGATCCCATCAGCCAAGTCCCCAAGCACAAAGCCCACGACCACAAGCACACCTGCTCCGAATACGAACCGTAACCCCAAACCAGGACAACCTGGAAGTGTCCACGGCCCATGTTGACCCAAGACCATGCCCATTCCTTAGGCAAACAGCCGTTTGTTCGCCTGATAATTCATCGGCTCCACGGAACCAGCTCACATCGAAACACACACACCCCTGCTTTGCTAGCGCAGACTGGGCCCAGCCCCCGCCGGGGGCGGGGGGGGGGGGAAGAGGAGGAGGAGGAGGAGGAGGAGGAGGAGGAGGAGGAGGAGGAGGAGGAGGAGGAGAGGGCCGAGCTGCCCAGGGTCTTCCCTCCCACCAGGGGGCCACAGCCGGAAGCTGCGTCTGGACCCTGTCCCCGACGCTGCCCATGCCCGGGGTGACCTGCAGGGAGCAGGCTGATGGGCATGGGGGGGAGGAAGGCTGCTCCTGGCACACTCGGGCCCCAGGTCTGCCAGACTGCAGTGCCACAGGCCCTCCGAGGACCAGGGAGGGGAAGGACAAGGACAGGGTCAGAATGGAGCACATGGGGCCGCCTGGCGGGTCCCCAGGTCCTGGCCCAGGTTGGCACTGCATGAGCCAAAAGGACACTTCCTGAAATTACTTTTGTCTTTAAGAGAAAATTTAACTTTTCCGTTAATTAAGCCTTCCCACTGTCCTTGGCTTGGCCTCGTGCAATAGACAGGAACGCTGTCCTGCCGCCTGGAGCTGGCCGTCGGTGTCCTGGGTTTGGACCTGTTCGGAGGGCCTCCCTGCAGGCCAAGGTCAGGTGTCCTTTGAGACTGGCCCTGACTCCCATTCACTGTTTCTTTTTTAAAATAAATTTTATTGATTTTAGAGAGGAAGGGAGAGGGTGAGAACGAGAGAGAGAGAGAGAGAGAGAGAGAGAGAGAGAGAGAGAGAAAGAGAGAAACATCAATGATGAGAGAAAATCACGGATCGGCTGCCTCCTGCACGCCCCCTACTGGGAATGGAGCCTGCAACCCAGGCATGTGCCCTTGGCCGGAATCGAACCTGGGACCCTTCAGTCTGCAGGCTGACGCTCTATCCACTGAGTCACACCAGCCAGGGCTCCCACGCGCTGTTCTTGACACATGATTCTGTTCCTGCTGCCCAAGTCCAACCCAGCTGGCACCGCTCCCTCGGGCGGGCTGGCTGGGATTCCGCCTTCTGCCTCCAGCTCCTGAGTCAAACAGTGATGCCTCTGGAAGCACAGGGTCCTTAAAATACATCCCAGCCGCAGGCCAGGCCCACAGGGGGCCCGTCGGGAGGATGGGGGATGGGGGGTGACACTGCCCCTGCCACTGAGGCAGCAGGACGGGCGGTGCCAGGCCTCTCCCACCTGCTCGGAGCCGTCTTCCTTTCTGTGCCCAGTCAGCATGCCGCCGCCGTCCCCCAAACAGGTGCGGCTCAGTGGATAGAGCGTCGGCCTGCGGACTGAGGGGTCCCAGGTTCGATCCCGGTCAAGGGGCATGTGCCTTGGTGGCAGGCACATCCCCAGTGGGGAGGGGGGTGCAGGAGGCAGCTGATGGATGTTCCTCTCTCATCGATGTTTCTGACTCTCTATCCCTCTCCCTGCCTCTCTGTAAAAAACCGATAAAATATATTTAAAGAAAAAAATATATATAATTCGGATTCGTTCGCGTGCCTCAGGGCTGCTGCGGGGTGTCTTGGCGAATTCTACATGCCAGTGACATGCATGTGTATAGCATGTGCCAGCGCCCCACCCATGTCCTGGCGTGCTTCCGCATGCCCGTTAGGTGCACGTTCCTGACACGCGTGTACATGACCGCTCTCACCGCCTGGGCTCCTGGAACGGTGCGTCCCGGCCTGCTGTGCTCACGGGCGGCCTGGCCCGTGCCCGGGCGCGGGGGTTCTGGTGTTTTCGCCGGGATCCCGCTAACCCAGAGAGGAACGCAGGAGGACTGACAGTTTGATGGTGTTGCGTCTGAGGAGGATCTCATGTTCTCTCCGTCGCGGCCCTATAAACCCTGTTGTTTATAACCAGGGACTGAGGGTAGAGCTTGTAAATGGGCTTTTCTCTTCCCTCCCCTTTCTTACTTTTCTTTCTTTAAAATGGATTTTATTGATTTTTTTTTTTTTTTTTTTTTTTTTTTTTTTTTTTTTTTTACAGAGAGGAAGGGAGAGGGAGAGAGAGTCAGAAACATCCTTGAGAGAGAAACATGGATCAGCTGCCTCTTGCACATGCCCCGCTGGGGATGTGCCCGCGACCAAGGTCCATATGCCCTTGACCGGAATCGAAGCGGTGTTGGCCTTTCTTTCTTTTTTTATAATAAAAAATACATTTGTATTGATTTCAGAGAGGAAGGGAGAGGGAGGGAGAGGGAGAGAGAAACATCAACGATGAGAATTATGGATCGGCTGCCTCCTGCACGCCCGCTCCTGGGGAGGCAGCCCACAACCCAGGCCTGTGCCCTTGACCGGGTAATGGAACCGCGACCTCCTGGCTCACACCTCCATGTCCAACCCCTGAGCCACCACGGCCCGGCCTCAGGCCTTTTCTTGGAAAAAAAAAAAAAAAAAAACTCGCATCCTTCCCCCCACCCCTGCCCCCGAGCCCGAGAGAAACAAGTAGCAGATAACGCCACAAAGCGGTTCTGACGCCGAGTCGCTGCGGCCAGGGAGCTGCAGCTCCCAGTGCTTTTAATTTGCTTTGTTATAAATTAATAATGCATGCGCGAGGGAGGGGAGCTCGTTGACTGCGCGCGCCTTAGAGGGAGGCATTGGGAAGAGCGAGGAAGGATGCCCAGCTGCTCCCGAGGGTTAACACCGAGTACCAACATCACTGGGCGTCTGCTCTGCTGAACGCGGGCGGCAGCCGCGGGGGAGGAGAAGGCAAGGACCATCATCCCCTTCACAAAAGGCCCCGGAGGACCAAGAGTGAGATTTGCACCGACTGTCACCCAACGAGCCTTCTTCTGGCCGATCTGACTTTCTTTCTTTCTTTTTTTTTTTTTTTAATATACTTTATTGATTCTTTGATTACCGAGACAAAGGGAGAGAGATAGAGCGCTAGAAACGCCGATGAGAGAGAAACACCCATCCGCTGCCTCCTGCACACCCCCACCTGGGGATGTGCCCGCAACCCAGGCACAGGCCCTTGACCGGAATCGAACCCGGGGACCCTTCAGTGCGCAGGCCGACGCTCTATCCACTGGGCCACCCAGGTTTCGGCTGCTCTGGGCCAAGTTTAGAAAATTTCTAATGCCACCTGCCCCTCCAGGCCGCGGCGGGGAGGGGGCTGGAGGTGGAGGCTCACCACGCCCAGGGGGGTGGAGGGGAGAGAGTTCGGCCCGTCCCACGAAGACACGGGGGACCCCTGCGGTGTGAGGTCTGCCCCCCTCACCCCCAGCCCCCGCCGAGGGACACCCACCTGTAGCGCTGCGTCACCGAGGGCCGCTCGGGCGCCCGGCAGGCCAGGCCCGCGTAGTAGAGCGGGAAGAAGAGGCAGTTCCAGGAGGTGGCGAACCAGGCCAGCGTGAAGGGCGCGTCGAAGGTGCGGAAGGTGCGCTTGGCCAGCTGCGTGGCGCCGGCCCAGGAGGCGCACACGCCCAGCGCCACGGCCAGCCCCCAGCCCAGCTTGCGGAGCCGCGGCCCCGAGCAGCGGCAGCACGGGCGGCCCCCGCGCCCGGCCTCCGGGCCCGCCGCCCCCGCCGGGGCCTCCGCGGGGGCCGGGCCGTCCCGGGGGCGCTCCTCCCCTGCGGAGAGAAGGCACGCGGGTTAGAGGGGCCTCACGTCCTCCCCGGGCCCAGAGCGGGCACCCAGTTCGGCCACGGCCACGGCCACGGCCACGGCCACGGCCACGGCCACGGCCGGACACCCTGGGCAGGGGAGGGGCAGGGTGTGTGGAGGCAGCTTTTTTTAAAAAAAAAAATATATTTTTATTGATTTTTTTTACAGAGAGGAAGGGAGAGAGATAGAGAGCTAGAAATGTCGATGAGAGAGAAACATCGACCAGCTGCCTCTTGCACATTCCCTACCGGGGATGTGCCCGCAACCAAGGTACATGCCCCTGACCGGAATCGAACCTGGGACCTTTCAGTCCGCAGACCGACGCTCTACCACTGAGCCAAACCGGTTTCGGCTGGAGGCAGCTTTTTGAAGCAACACAGACCAGGGTCATGGCCAGCCACCCAGGAGGACAGGGGAGGGCTTTGGCAGCTCCCTGGACCGACACTTACTTTAAAAAAAATAAATTTTATTGTTTTTTTGTTTTTGTTTTTTTTTACAGAGAAGAGAGAGGAATAGAGAGCTAGAAACATCGATGAGAGAATCATCGACCAGCTGCCTCTTGCACACACCCCCTCCCCCCGACTGGGGATGTGCCCGCAACCAAGGTCCATGCCCTTGACCGGAATCGAACCTGGGACCTTTCAGTCCGCAGGCCGACGCTCTATCCACTGAGCCAAACCGGTTTCGGTCGGACCGACACTTAATAGAAGATGCTACTACCCGGCCGACCCGTGGGCGTGGCTCAGGGGTTGAGCATCGACCTAGGAACCAGGAGGTCAGGGTTCGATTCCTGGTCAGGGCACAGGCCCGGGTTGTGGGCTCGATCCCTAGGGTGGGGCGTGCAGGAGGCAGCCGGTCCCTGATTCTCTCCCACCATGGATGTTTCTCTCTCCCTCCCTCTCCCTTCCTCTCTGACATCAATAAAAAATTTTTTTAAACAGATGTTTTCTTTGGGGTTCCTAATCTCCAGAATCTTGACCCCCCCACCCTTGACCGGAATCGAACCTGAGACCCTTCCGTCCCCTAGGCCGGTGCTCTATCCATTGAGCCACACCGGCCAGGGCCCTCTGATCTCTCTATGTGCTCTCGCTGGCTCTCTGCCGATGGCCGGCCTTCCCTCCCCTGGGGAGCGGTATTAGAAACCTCGGCTGGCGCTGGGGACGGCCAGGGCCTCGCACCCCTGTATGTGTGACTCCTGGACGCCGGCCTGCAGCCCCGGGCAGGGTCCGGGCGCCCCGTTCCCCCAGACCAGGCCTGGCGGGCGCCCCAGCGTGCTTTTCCACTGTTTGCTTTTCATTCAGGCCCTGTGCGCCTCGGTCAGCCGGAAACTCAAACAGAGCTGAGCCTCTCGTTGGGCGGGGACCATGGGCAGATGGGGAGTCCCGGGAGCCGGCGGCTGGCCTTTCCCGGCGGCCTGGTTCCGGGCCCGCAGCTCGGGGGCCCTCGGCACTAGGAGGCCGTCCCCACTCGGGGGTGGGAGGTGCGGGGTGCAGGCAGGGAGGACAGAATACATGGGGGTCAAACTTTCTCTATGTTTTTAAACTTAGAAAAGCTTTAAGTAGTGTTTATCCACCTCAAACCAAAGGTTGCAGATCGTGCTTTCTGGACCGTGCTAACCCTACGAGGCAAAATCTTGATTCAAGACCGTCGGTTTGCCCGGCCTGGTGTGGCTCGGTGGTTGGAACCGGGAGGTCAGGGTTCGATTCCCGGTCAGGGCACCTGCTGGGGTTGCGGGCTGGATCCCCAGGGTGGGGGCGTGCAGGAGGCAGCCGATCCGCGATTCTCTCTTATCATGGATGTTCTCTCTCTCTCTCTCTCTCTCTTTCTCTCTTTCTCTCTTTCTCTCTCTCTTTCTCCCTTCCTCCCTGAAGTCAATCAAACTATATTTTTAATACCCTCCCTTGCTGGCGGGGTCGAGTTCACGGTTCTTGGTAAATCAGCAGAAGGGCGAAGCCAGCCTCACTCGCCGGCCGCCGGACATCCCTCACCAGGAGCCTCCTGCCCGTGCGCAGCCCGCCCCATGCCTGCCCCCGGCTCCCGCCTCTGCAGGTCCGGCTGTTCTGCGTCCTCACAGACCACGCAGGCCTTCGCACCTGCTTCTCCCACTTATAATGGCACCGGGGTTCACCCACGGCGTGGCCTGTGCCCACACACACACCGGCCCAGGCACAGGCACACACACAGGCACCGGCACACGCACACACACACACACACACAGGCACACACGCACACACACACGCGCGCACACACACAGGCACATGCACACACAGGCACACACACACGCACAGGCACACACACACATACACACATCGGCACAGGCACACGCACACAGGCACACACACACAGGCACACACACACACAGGCACACGCACACACACAGGCACACAGGCACACACACATACACACACACAGGCACACACACACACACAGGCACACGCACACACAGGCACACACACAGGCACACACACATACACACACAGGCACACACACACATACACACACAGGCACACACACATACACACACACAGGCACACGCACACACACGCGCGCGCACACACACACACACACACACACACACACCGGCACAGGCACACACACACACACACACACACACAGGCACATGCACACACACACAGGCACACGCGCACACACAGGCACACACACACACAGGCACACACACACACACAGGCACACGCACACACACAGGCACACAGGCACACACACATACACACACACAGGCACACGCACACACACAGGCACACGCACACACAGGCACACACACACAGGCATACAGGCACACACACAGGCACACACACATACACACACAGGCACACACACACATACACACACAGGCACACACACATACACACACACACCGGCACAGGCACACACACACACACACACACAGGCACATGCACACACACACAGGCACACGCGCACACACAGGCACACACACACAGGCATACAGGCACACACACAGGCACACACACATACACACACAGGCACACACACACATACACACACAGGCACACACACACACACACACACACACACCGGCACAGGCACACACACACACACACACACAGGCACAGGCACACACACACAGGCACACGCGCACACACAGGCACACACACACAGGCACACACACTCACACACTCCTCACACACACACACACACTCACACACACGCACAGCCCCCTTCCTCTGTGGTCCCAGGTCTCGTCGCAGGCTCTGCGGGAAGGAGACTTCCTAGCCGGGCCTGTCTGCTGAGAGCCAGGGCGAGGCCTGCCCCCTCCCCTTTCCCGTCCGTCCGTCCGAAGGCCCGGCAGCTCCGGGGAGCAGGGACTGGCATGCCAGTCCGACCGGCCGCCGGCCTCCCTCCCTCTCCACGCCTCCCCGTCTCCCGAGTCACACGAGGTCTCCCACGAGAACACGCTCCTCGCCAGAGGCCTTTAGGGGGGGACACCTCTCCTGCTCCCACGCCCGCCCCGCGCAGGCAGGCGGCCGGCTGCCGTCCTTGGCTTCCCTCCCTCCCGCGTCCCCACCCGTCCTCGTGCTTCTGCCCGGGCCTCACTCCGCCTCTCAAGGCCAACCACCCTCCTCCCTCCCCACCTCCCCGGCCCCGCCTGCATCACCTCCTTTCCCGTGTCCGGGAACAGCCCCGGCCTCCGGGGACAGAAACACGGGCTCTGAGAAGTCCCCCCCGGGCCGGGAACCGAACCGGGACCTTCTGGTGCATAGGCTGCAGCTCCAACCACTGAGCCGCCGCTGCCGCCGGGCAGGGGCTCGGGGCCAGGGGCATAGCGGGCAAGGAGGTGGTGAGGGCAGGGTGAGTCTCCCGTGGCTGCCTCTCCCCTGCTGCTCCAATGCCAAGCCCTACCTGTGCATGGGTGCCTCTGTCTGCACACGCGAGCACACACACGCACACACACACACACACACACACACGCATACACAGGTGCACACAAACACAGACACACACACATCTCTAGGTGCACACACACACACAAGCAGGCACACACACATACACACGCACAAACATACACATGTACACACAAGTACAGGTACACACATCTCTAGGTGCTCACACACACACACACACACACACACACACACACACACAGGTTCGTAGAAATTCAAACATGCAGCCGAGGCCGGTTTGGCTCAGTGGCTGGAGCATCAGCCTGTGGACTAGGGGGGAGGGTCCCAGGTTCGATTCCGGCCAAGGGCATGGACCTCGGTGGCGGGCACATCCCCGGTGGGGGGTGTGCAGGAGGCAGCTGGTCGGTGATTCCCTCTCATCGATGTTTCTAGATCTCTGTCCCTCTCCCTTCCTCTCCGTAAAAAAATCAATAAAATACTTTTTTTTATAAAAGAAATTCAAGCATGCATTTTGTCAGGTGAGAGAGAGAGAGAGATGGCGGGAGGAGGGGGAAGGGGAGATGAATGGACAACGCTAAATCCTGATGGCCACGTGCAGGGGGAGGGCCGGGGAGCGGGAGGCGGAGGAGGAGTCCGACCCTCATAAGCAGCAGCCTCCGAGGCCAGACAAGATGAGTCAACAGGCACGCGAGAGGCCAACAGCTTCAACCGACACACCTGGAGCCGATCGGAACCAAAACAGCCAGAGGAGAGGAGAGAGAGAGAAAAAAAAGAAGCAGCCCCCTAACCATCGTCCTGAGGTCCTGCAAAACCATGCTCTGACCTGCCAGCCCCGAGTGCCAATCCGGCTTCACCAGCAGCCACGCCTCCCTCCTGGGCCTCGCCGTCCCCATCTGTAGAATGGGCGCGCAGCAGGCGGATGCCACAGGCAGCCATGGCCCAGGGCCAGCCTCCGGCCAGCTCTCCCTGCCTCCAGCCTCCTGGCCACAGGTGAGCTCGCTCTCCTCTCTCTCTCTCTCTCTCTCTCTCTCTCGCAGGAGAGCCACGGGGGCAGGTGCTGAGGCCGGCGTGGGCCACCCCGCACA